AAAATGAATGCTCCTGCAAATAGCTTGCGAAAGACTTGACAAAAAATGGACTGTACCAGAATACATTTGAGAACCTTTTTTCTCACTTCAGTTGTAAAATAAGCTACTAAACGATAAACATTTGCTTAATGATCTTCCCAGCAACATCAAACCAAAAAAAACTATTCTTTCCACGCATACCGTCCAGTTTCCTTTTTTTAATCGTTATTGCTGCAAAGTTGGCTCGTTCTGAATGGTTGTTAACCAAGAAAAAAAATTTGAAGTAATACAGACTCATAAAACAAAATTACATACCATTTTTCATTTGCAACCTTCACTATTTAGAGCCAACGATTATTCACTAAATAATATGAAAAACGACACAATAGGGAAAATTCCAAACATCAAGAAATTCAGAAAACATAAAAAATAAATAATAAACCTCGACAAAGCATCCACCTCGTAATATAAACAGTAAAGTGACAATAAATTCCAAGATATCAGGTACTTCCACATAATGCAAAAAACATCCAATAAAAAAGCTCATTATCCTCTGATTTACAAAGATTTTTCTCACTGACAGTAGTGGTAACGATAAAGAGAATATAATGCAGCTCCTCAAAGCAATTTAAACATAGATCAGCTTACAATAACGAACAAGCATACAGAGTCACTAAAATTAATAAATTAACTTAGTAACCGATTGTAATCAGGACCAAGAGAGACAGCAATATCAACCAACACTGAAAAAACATTTTAATTTCAGATGCGCCGACTTAAAGTTCTATAAGATGTTACAACTTAAACCAATTTCAAAAAAAAAAAATCTAACTTTCTTGTTTTGGTAGTAACTTTGTACTTCACAAACCTGTTACATAATAAAAAAAAAATCAAAATGTATATTTTTTTAAAATCACAAAAAAAACATCATTCCTGCTTAAGTAAAAATACAGTATCTGTGTTAAATGGGAAAATTAAAGAAGCAAAATAAGATGAAGACTGAAATTTAAAGTCCCCAACCTCTTACTCTGACGAAGACATCGTGGAAAAGTATCTGACAAGGATTGTTATCATGTATAGCAGAGAGCGTTGAAAAGTTTTATGCGGCATGGATCCCAATATATAGTTGAGTACTGAAAAGCAAGTCTCCAAACATAAGGAACAAAGAAGTCCACTGTGTTGTCGTCCTCAACGTACTTAAACTTCAGTTCTGGAAATTTTTTTAACCTAAACGTAAAAATTATTAGAATTAAAAATTCCCAGTGAAAAATAAGCTAAAAGAGTAGCTTAATCAATTAACATGAACTTGTTAAATTCATTCATGACAAGAAAGGAGAACTATGACAAAGGTCTAAAGAGAAAACCAAAGCAGGAAATTATTCATTTAGCAACAAACTTGTCGGACGGCCAGTGTAATGCACCAGCCTCAATCGTTTCCAGCACTGCACTAACAGACGATTCTTTTTTCAAAGTCTGCACCCGTGAAGAGAAATAGCTGATAACCTAAAACGAAAACACATTTTACTTACAATCTCTTTCTTTCTGACTCTAACCCCACTTGCATAGGCCCTAAAAAAGTATGTATAAATAAAAATTAAATACTGAAGAAATATTCCATATCAAGTCTTGAAACATCGGATGGTTCTGG